CTTGCCATCAGGATTTATGCTTACGGCGCTGGACTAAATTGGCTTGGAAATACAAAAGCTCTCCCTAGTCGTAACACTATCTTCAGGGCCTGGGCGGCATGTGTTGTTACACAGTAGACAATTTAACTTTGGCATAAGTGTTGTCAATGTACAAAAAAAAAATGTTACACGAAAAGAAATTAAAAATTAAAATTAAAAAATTTAAAATTAAAAAAAATTTAAAATTAAAAAATTTAAGATTTCATGTATTTTAAAATTTCATGCATTGATAATCATAGACATGTCGAATAAGCCACGAGTATCTAAGAATGTACAACCTCAACTGGCATTTTCCATATCGATATATACCGATGCAAAAATCATTCAACAATCAAAATCATAAATATTTTTAATTGACCCCTTTAATTCCGTACACGATGCGGTGCACTCATGTACAGTCATCTGTAAAAGTAATGCTAAAAGTAACACCTGATTTTCTCTAAGTAAAATATAGAAAATCGGCGTCATTTAATTGTTGAACCCTTAAATAAACTCTAATCTGTCAATATTAAAAAATGGCAATATTAAAAAATACCAGGGTTTGGAATTTATTACATAAAATAATGAACAATAGCAAATTATATATTGATTATGGTTAGAATTAGGTTTAGGATTATATGTAAATTTGAATTCTAGACATTTTTTGGTAGTGTATCAAAATAGGTTATGCCAAGGTTTTTTTCGTTTTTCTTTTGTTGATCTACAGCATAATTAATTCCGGCTGTTTTAAAATTTTAAAAAATAGATCTTCGCCACGTTATAGTCGCGTGAGATATGTAAATACTGTCCCTCCAGTATTTGGAATAAAAATGTCGTACGAACGTACGTACTAGAGTCGTTGGTGAAACTGGTGACTTTCTAAAATCTGATTGGCTATTGCTTTAATAGCCAATCAGATTTAGATAGTACCAGTTTCACCAGCACAATTTGTTTTACCAGCAACTCTAGACGTACGTACGTACAACGTAGGTACAGACGTACCTCGATAAGGATGGCATCATCTCCGCACCAATTGCACCGTATGGCCTCATATCTCACGCGAAGAAAATTTATCTTAGTTGCCTGTGATTTATTAAACTATGTGCGATCATTTGCAGCTGTAGGGTCTCTTATTACGTTAATGATGCTTGACTAAATTATTTTTACAATTGACGAAATTTTAATCAAATCATTGAAGAAATTAAGTCACTTCGTCATGATTTCGGCAGTGTCGTCAGTAAAAATGCAGTAGAAACTGTTACGGCTATGTTTATGTGCTACGACATAAGCGTCGTAACAGCTTCTAACGCATCTTTAATCGCTAGGAGTCATTAGTATGCTATTGGTGTTAAATTAAGGTTTTATTTTCATTTTAATTGCTCTCCATTATACAAGTTATTTGTAAACATTCTTTTTATTGTTTTTGATTAATTAAATAAGATATTATGCATAAATAATGAATAAAATAAATAATAATGAATAAAAAAGGTTATTTTTCGGTCGTCCTAAAGATTAAAATGGATTAAAGATTAAATAGATTAAGCGTCGATACAAAATAAACTCCTGTTGATTATAACTAACGATGTTTGTATTATAATGCATTCTGATTGAATTGTGATAGAAGTTTGAGTCGAATTTGGTAATAAGAACGATTGTCGCATAAATCTCTTTTTTAAGCAATGATTTATATTATTAAACTTTGAAACAAAATTTTGAAAGATGGAAATTTCAAACAGCTAATACAAAAATGATTTATCAGTTGACTAATCTTTTTAAAACCGGTAACAAAATAAAAAACAACTCTGAAAATTGGTAAATGTGTATACCCAAATATTAGGATTTCTCCAAATATTGGGATTTTTCTTTATTCTTGACGGTTCTACAAAACAGAAAGTCATTGACTTTAATCGCATGTACGTATTTTACGTATTGTTAAATGAGTTTCCATTATCGGATAAATTAAACTTTATTTATATTACGTATCGAGTTGCACGGATGTACAAACTTTGTCGGCATTAACAAAATTTAAAAAACATTTTTCGTTTTACATTCTTATTATTAATTTAATATTACTGTTACACTCACATTCCTTGTTAGGAACTAAAATGCGTACAATAAATTTTGTCAGCAATAAATAATGATATTATCAAAATATTTATTATTAAATTTACACAGAATTTCCCCGTTTAAAATTATAGAATCCGTGTAACCATAGAAATCAACTTTAAACACTGTAAATTTCTTTGAAAATCTCTTTTCAAAAAAAAAAAGTGACATTGTAAATATTATTACAATATTAATGAAGTCTAATAAAAATAATAATTTTCTATCTAGCTCATCTGAATCGTCTACTGTTCCAAGGAAAAAATCCATATGGAATTATACTGATGATGACGATGACGATGATGATGACTTTACAAGTTTTTTAAATTCAAGTATATATAAAATATTCAACGAAAGAACGTACCTTGCTGACGATGAAGCAAAATATCTACTACCATCTGACAAGAAAGAAGTTGAAAGAGGGGCTATTTCTTATACAATAAGGAAGCACTTATATCAAGGAAACTATTGTTCACCAGTAGAGAAAAAGTTGAAAGCGGGTGCTACTGTACTTGATGTCGGGTAAATATACAGTATTAATATATATATTTTTTTCTAAACCTTTACTTCATATCATAAATATTTACGATACCATTTAAAAAAAAGATGTGGTGCAGGCTTTTGGGTGGTTGACATGGGAATGGATTATACATCTTCAACATTCATAGGAATTGATATAGATTCTACTCAATTTCCTTCTGATAATATGCATCCTTCAAATGTCGCCTTTCTTACGTGCAATTTAACTCATGGAATTCCATTCCCTCCTGAAACTTTTGATTTTGTTCATATGAGTATGATGTGCTGTGCTCTTACGGAATCTCAATGGTTTCAGTTAATCAAAGAAATGGTTAGAGTCTTAAAACCTGGTGGTTGGATTGAGTTATTAGAAGGTGATCCTTGGTTTAAAAATTATGGCAAAATTGGAAAATTGCTGACTGAAACTTGTATGTGTTCATTAAAATGATTTTAAAATTTTGTTATTCATATATATATATATATATATATATATATAGATATATTTATTTATTTCTATAGATATATATATAATATATTTATTTATTTCTATAGATATATATATAATATATATATCTCTCTATTTATTTCTATTTATTTCTATTTATATTTATATTTCTTTATTTCTTTGTTTAGCTCTTGAAATTGCCATGACGAAAGGCATTAACGTTAACATTCATAAAATGATACCAAAATTCATCAATTCAATAGAAGAACTTATAGATTTACAATATATTGACGCGGAATATCCATTAGGCGATTGGGGTGGATGTCTTGGAAAATTTGTAAGTAAAACATACAGTATTCTTATACCTAGTCTTTACTATCCTCTTTCTAAATTTACTTCTTTTCATAGGCAATGACTAACATTCGGAGAGCTTGTGAAGGAATTGTCCATGTTCCAAAACATTTAGGTTTATCTAATAAAGAATATGATGGCTTATTATGTGATTATGTTAAAGAAGCAAATGAAAATAGATCAACCGGACTTTATCATAGATATTTTGCTAGAAAAATTCGTATTAATAATTCCTATTAATAACCTTTTATTATTTTTATATATTTATTATCATAACATTATATTAATTTATTTGAATACATTATAATATAAAATTTTTATGCAAAACAAAAAAAAATCTAAAAAATTAAATTATCATTATTGTAATTGCTATTATTGTAATTAAGATTATTGTAAGATAAAACAAATAAATATGTGTAAGATTTATTATGCCATTTGACGCATATGAATTTTATTGGTTTATATTACATATACTTCTCAATATTATTAATCAAATGTACATATGTTAGTACTAATTTTCTCATCAGTTTATATTGCAAGAATACAAATCTCATCTCATTTGACGAAATACGTCCCTATTAGACGAAACAAATCTCATCTCCCATTGGACGAAATACGTCAACTCGTAGACCGTGATCGTACATATCGAGTGATGATCATCTTTTGTTATACTATACTAGAAAAATGAATGTTTAAATATATTAAAAAATTAGATATTCATTGTAAACGGACACAATGTAAAAATTCATGCCAAATTCGAAATATCCAACCCATAATATTTAGGTTATTTAATCTATAGTGTTGGTCAGAGTTACAGAGTTAGTGAAACCGGGTGAATGCCTCTAATAAACAGTGAAAAATAATTATGGGTATTCTGTCCCCCTGTTTTCGTACAAATACGTAATGATGCAGTTCTCAGAGTGTATCGAATGGTTGTTATACACATAATTCTTTTTTCTATTTACAAGTCAGTTTCTATTAGGACTGTAATCTCAACAGGTCATTTGGAATAGGAAAAGGACTGATAATTTCATCCAGAATACCCTTCCTTGCCTTTTAATGATAGATTACTAATCCAAGCTTACTGCTTATTGTATGATTTTCTAAAAGCTATATTCTCTGAAGGAAATAATTTTTACTAAACCAGCCTGCGTTATAACTAACTATACCTAACTTTATCAGGATTACGATTTTTGAGAATTTCAAGATGACTAGAATTTTGATTATGATATAATTACATGTGGAGGCATTGCATCCAAACCTATGTCTAATTCTTTTATGACTGTCGTCTCGACAGGCACCTCTATTTCAAATTGTTTTCTAAAATTAATAACTGTCATACGACAGACCCAATTTTTTGTCTGAAATTAACTAAACTGATGATTATTGTCTCAACAGGCCATCAAATTATAAATATTCTAAGAAAAACCAACTTCCTAACAGGCCAATCTAAAAGTTAATAGAATAAAACAAAGGACCAGACAAAGTTGGGTTAGTATATAAACCAAACAAAATCAAGTTGCATGAAAAATCAAGTCGATATATTTTTTATATTAAGCACGGGATTTTCTTTGCTAGTTTATTTAGAATTGTATTTTTCATCATAAATTTAATGATCTTTTATTAAAAATTTTATCCGATTTATAACAGTTCAGTTTATCTAAGAATGTACAGAGCAAGTGGCAAGATTTGTTTTTTTTTTAATAATTAGAAGTTTTCAATTGAATAGGTATTGTATCTCTAATTTTCGCAAAAATGCGCATCCCTTTAAATGGATTTTAGATAAGGCTTAAAATTTATCATATTATGATGAATAATTATACTTTTAAGATGTTGAGAAAGATAATAAAAAGATGCTAATAATTAAACTATAGCAATAGATAATTCATAATCTTTATTTCGTGAATTAAATAATGTAATACCTTTAAGGTTTTTTATTAATTTGAAATATTTCATATTCCTCAATTGAAAAACTTGATCTATTACAATCATACTTGGATGCATCTCTAATTCGCTTTTCATAAGACCTTGGATCGTTACTGTAATTACCATGGCTTTTAAAATCGCTCGATATGAAAAGATCACAACTACGACCAAAACATGGGCCAACATTGGAACGACTATTGAAAATTGCCTTCTCTGGTTCTTTTACACGACTTAAAATAGAGTTTTTAATCATACCATTTTTAAATGAAAAGATGAAGCTCTTATTACAACTACTATAATCCCCGATCGATTTATCCCATCCAATAGGATTATATCCACCAATGATTTCATCAGTCCCTTTAACCTTTATAACTAAAACAACATTCTTTTGCTTATCGCATAATTTCCAAAATAAATCAGATGTAAAACCATCTCTTGTTCCACGAATAAGTACTTTAAATTCATATGGATTATTCGTTACAGAATAAGGATCAACCTTTTCATCAATCCATGAAGCAATTTCAGCTGCATGTGCATCACTAATGACTGTTGAAAATGGTTCAGTAGTTCTTGTTGGTAATGTTTGTGATAAAACTATACGAGGTGGAAGAATTTTTGAATGTATCGGCTGATTTGAAGCCATAAACTTTTTCATTATATCTTTCCAAAGTGTTTTTTCAAGGATTTGTTGATATGGTTGAACATTATTAATAATATCTTCATTAGACATTTGAAAATAACGGATAAAAGGCAAATAATTTTTTAAAGTAGTTTTTAAAGCCAGATAATTTTCGAGGGTCCATTCTTCAAGATCGGATGGTAGACCAGGATTTTGAGCTATTCCCCATTCGATAACACGATTCCAAATTTTTACTTCTTCCATTTGTAAGTCATCTCGACCAATAATTGAGATTAACGCATTTTCTTGAAGTGAAAGGAATTCTTCAGAGTCAAAAACTTTATTAGGATACTTTACTAAAATATCATTACACCAATTTTGTAATTCTTGAAGCTTATTATTTTGAAAACTTTTATTATAAACGTGTGCAAATTGTAAACGAAGCCAATGAGCTTGTGTTTCAATTAAGTGTGTTTCAAGATATTTGGCCAATTCTTCAAAAAGTAATTCATAAGCTATAAGCATAAGCTCAAAATTAAATGATGTATCCTGTTTTTCAAGTAAAAGCACACCTCCGTATATATACCTTTTTAATAAAATTTATGTAGAATTTAATTTGTGTCTTATAATAAAATATAGATTACACATCGTAAACCTAAAAATAACTTACTTGATAATAATTTCAAATTGTTGAATAGAAACATTTTCTAAAGTAATTGTTTGTATATTATCCTTATCTTTATTAGTATTTGTTAATTCATTACGAAAATATAAAGATCTATGTTTTAAAATTACTGAATGTGCTCTAAATATTTTTGTGTTTGGTGATTTACCAACATTAATAATAACTACATTAAAATCTTCATTATCTTCAAGAATCTCGAGATAATTATTTGAAAGTTTTTCAAAGAATTTTGCTGCCATTTTATATAACAGGCAAGTGTTGCATATAATGTAAAATTTACAGAAGTTTCAAAACAATAGCTTTGATACAAACTATTTAATGATGATGTAGTACCAGTACGTATGTACGTACATACATAATTCAGTAATTTACATATTCGTATATGTATGTGTAATCTAGTTGCAGGTAAATCATATGAGTGTCGTCAAAAGAAAACCTGACTTTGGCAGCAGGGAGGCGATAAATTCCGGGATCTACGTTACACGAGTATTTCACGTATAAGTAAACTTATAAAAAAAAAAGTATCGGCATACTACTTCACTAATTGAATAACTTCGTAGCGAACGTCTCTACTGGAAAATCAAATTGCATCACGCTGGAAAAGGTCGTTTTGCTAAAGGTTGATCTATAGTAAGGCCGTTTGAAGTTAATTCTTCGGTTAACATCACCTAGGATTTTTTGACGGGGGGGAGGGGGATGAAACGAACAAATAAAATGAACAACTGATTTTTAGAGTTGTAAATCTATTATAACAAATTAACTAACAAATTAACTTTAGTTAAAATTTGTCTATGGGTTTTAGTTGAGTTGCTCAAAGTTAATTATCTAGTTAATATTAATATTTTTTATCTTGAGCGAGAAGATAATACAAATTTTATTATGCAAAATATAGTTACGCGTCATTTACGGAATTTGTTGATTATGAATTGACGCCTGTTATTTTTTAATCTCCACCGATTGAAAAGTAACTCAGGTCAATCATGATTAAGGCTGTTAATTGGTCCGTCCGGTCCGTCTTGGTCCAAAGACTGGCAGTCTTTTAAAAAGTTAGACTGCGGTCCTCATAGGAAGACTTTCGTTTGATTGGTTAATTTTTGTAGATCTACCCGTGATTTCCCGTGATAATTAACCAATCAA